GGCACACTGGCTAAATGTGTCACCGAAATTTTCATCATCGAATTCAGATGTAAAACAAAGCTTTGCGAAAACATCCCTTTTTGGTGGTTCACATCAGGCAATTTCGACTACAGAACTGACAAATGCAACAATAATCTGGTGAAGGCAACAATGAAGACGGATGGGACGGCTTGAACAGATTCTGCATGTTTACACACATTGGTGAAATTATCACGTTGCGTACAAAACGGGGAAGCAATGTATAAGGTCATACAATTCAAAGGAAAAGGGTCAATAACCTCACCAAGGTAGGGCGAGACTGGCCGTAAGTTCAGTCTGCTTGCACAAATTGGGCTTAAGCCGCCGAATAGCTGAGGCTTCAGCAAAATGAAGCAATCGGGTATTGCTCTGTAGGTTAATTACTTTAAACAATTCACGTGGACGTTGGCACGTTTTTCAATCCAGGACGTGTTTAGCAACAGAGCTAGTCCGCAGTTTGGGCCCGCTAGCTACTATGTTTCGTGAAATGTGCTCTGAAATCCTAGGGGATAGCCTCCTCCCCGTTCGGCCAACGTACTTGCTATCACAAGTACGGTGAAATAGATAAATACAAGAGGCGATAACGTCAGGGCGTGACTTGTCCAGGTTGGATTTGCAGAGCAACTTCCTAACTTGGTGCAATAACACCAGTTCGGCCGCGTAATAACATTTCCCAATTGCCTGGCGAAGGTGATGCTGGGATCCTCTATCATTTTGATCTCCTTTAAATGGCAGCGTAATGGAAAGGTTTTTCTTAGGGACACTTAGCAAAGGCTTCTTGCTATCTTATGCGCTTGCATACCGAACTATGAATCTTGCGGGGTATCAATTTTCCTGAAATATTGATGACATGCGTTCTAGTTCACTGTCGATCGTATCTTCAGAACAAATTTTACGAGCTCCTGCGAAGGCAGAGGGGACTAATGCACGTTAATAATTTATAGGACAGAAACTGTGGAAGTTCAGATATTGTCCTGTCCAAGTAGGTTTTCAATATACAGATCGAGTGAGTGTGCCTTATGCATTCCTCTTCAGGTGTACATACAAAAAGTGGAAATTGCTGTCCACCTCGTTTTCCATTGTGAATTTGATCGCAGGGTAGCATTTATTTAGAACTTCAAATAAACATGCTACGTGCTGAGGGCTATCAACTACAACGAACGTGTCGTCCAGATATCTACTGTACATGTGCACCTTTCGTATGTAAGGACGTGGTTTCGTGTGCTCCAAGTGGCCCATGAAAATGACAGCCAGGACTGGCCCAAGTGGACTGCCCATGGCTACGCCATCGATCTGACGGTATAATGTTCCGTTGAATTGGAACTGTATGTCCTTGGTGCACAAACGGAGTAAAGACTTGAGAAGATGTGCTGGAAAACCCACTTTGTCAGCATGAGCACCGATGATGTCTAACGTCTCTTCCAATGGGACGTGAGTGAAAAGTGAGCATACGTCATAAGAGACCATGTATTTCCCATCCACGTTTAAACCCCGTATTTTGTCGACGAACTGAAACGTATCTTTGAGGGTAAACCGGCTAGCTCATATCGGATAGGTTCTATCAGCTCGGTTAACCAAAGTGCCAGCCTATAATATGTGGCGCTTACCATTGATACGAATGTCCTCCTTGCGTGTCTTCTGCAAACCATACATATGGGAAAGTCGAGCCCCACACGGGCGCAGTTGTGTCATGGTCTTCGCATCAATCAATCCAGCATTCAGTAACATTTTAACTTCACGAACTACGGATCCTTCAACGTGTTGGGTTCTATCGCGAACCGTTAGGTCGCGCAGATTCCTCGAAGATTCTCGCTGTTGCTGCATCTGCATCTTTCAGTTTCAACAACGCGAAACTGGTTTGCTATGTCCACTGCCTTAGCCTTAAACCAACCGCATGCATCGTCGGTGACCGGTGTCAAAATGGATAATTACTAGTACAAATGTTCGTACTGTGCTTCAATCTCTACTCTGTTGCACTTCTTCGGTGGTACCGAAAAATTGAACCCCAATGATTAAGCTTCAAATTGTGAGCGACTTATTGAAATGGTGGAAAGGTTTACCACCTACTTCTCAGGCGTTACCGGTAGCTGGTCATTAACGAATACAGATGACATGGCGCTCATAAGTTGTTGTTTTCTCCTTCACTGTGTTTTCATCAGCAAATGTCGAAGAAAGTTGAAAGAGTTTGCACGACACACAAGATTCAGACTATTAAGGACTTGGTCGACACATCGTAGCCTGGCGTCATAGGCTTCAATGTGGGATCTGGTCAGCCGTCGCAAATTCCGTGAGGTTACTGGCAATTTGTCAATTCTCAGAGTTTTTTCAAG